TAACTATAATTTAAGAGGGAGTTATAGATTATACTATTTTCCCGTTAACGTATTTTCTAAATGAGCTAGCCACCCTAAAACCCTATAGTAACGATATATTCTACACTAATATCTTAATAACCACGTTTTTATTTTCTTATTTACTAATCGCTATTAATAAGGCTTTTTAACACTCTATATATTAACTTTAAACGAAATCTGAAACCTATATTGTTACGGTATTGAATATACGTTACTAGGAGCTAGAAATATCTTAATTACTAAGTTATATAAATTCTTTAAACTTATCTTCGAGACTAGATTTACTACCTAAAAAGTATTAGTTTTTAAGGAAAAGTCCCTATAACCTACCATTATTATAATACTATATTATAATCTATCGTATTGATTATAGTGTTATAGGGTAGCTAGCTCGCTTAGGAAACACGTTATTATAATTATTATAAAATATCTTATATACTATAGTATCTAGGATTTAGTAGAGTATCCGTTAATACCAGTATCTAGAAGATATTAGGGAACTAGCCTAGTTATAGATACGTTAGCTATAATATTAATTACCTTCGCTATAGTTATTATTAAGGGGCCTATCTTATTATAGTTATTATTATAACTATCGGCGTCTAACTAATACTAGTAAGAGACCCCGTAATAGGTCTCTTAAATATTTTCTGAAGCTATTCGAGATCGATAGTATTATTTATCTATCTATTATCACTAACTACGAATCGCTAATCGGTCAGTCATTATGTATTCTTAAATTATACCGCTATAGAAACCTTACCTTTAAAAATAACTTATAGCGGTAACGCCTACCCTATCGCATTTATTACCTTAATTGTAGTGACCTATTCGCGATTCCTAGGTTATAAAATAGCTCCCCGACCGATACTACTTCGCGTTATAATCTTAGTAGTAGCTATAAGGCCGAGAGCGAAGCTAGTCTCGTCGAAATTATAGATATCATTATCCGTAATACCATACTTATTAATCGTAGATTTCACAAAGTTAAACCACGTTTAAATTGTGCCTTATCCTCGTATAATTGTCAGGACCACTACCTGACAGAGGAGGTCGATGACGCCTGAGGCATAGAAAATGCCTTAGGACGTACGTGAAAGGATGATCTAGGACCTCACCGCCTACGAATGGGCCATTCGTGTATATAAGCATTTCTCGCTGGTCCGTCTAACGGACCAGCGTTCAGTCTCTTCATACAATTGACCTTATTGTATTACACGCATAACTGGGCCATCTACCTCGCTTACCTACCTAAACCTAGAGACTGCGTGGTCTCACAATAATACTCGCCGGTAGTCGTACGATCGTGAGAATCGAGTAGGGTGGTTAGGGTATCTTCTAATAAAATTTTTTACCTAACTTTTACCGACCGTAGTAATAAGGGGTGGGCGGAGGAGGGTTGTTAGAACGGCGAGTTCGGAGTAGTATATTAGCTATATCTCGTATAGTATCGGGCCGGGGGGCCTATTCCGCGATCATCTAGTGAGATAATCTATTCGTAAAGCGATTGCTCTTTAAAAGCAGTCAATCTATAGCAGTTTACGCGTATTTCGGCGCGGTAGGTGATACCATTTAGACGCGTCGTGAGCGTAGTGCGGGGGACGTCAAAAACCTCCGCAGCTTTGCGTATAGAGCTAAATTCTTAATTCTTAATAGCCTAGATAGCTAATAAGAGTCTACCCTCTTGCTCTACGCGCTTTTGAGAATCTTGAGAGCGAATTGGTGGCATAGTAGACGGTTGAAAAGGTGAGTCTGATTACGTACGGAATTTTTGGTTAGGTGGCCAGCTCGGTAGGGAAATACGTTATACAATATAGGCGGTACTAGGTGGAATGCTTATGGTAATTATTGCACGTGACCTTTCTAACAGGTATGTGTAGAGACAAAATTATCTATGTAAAACCTTTAGTTACCCAGGGCTGATACAAAGAAAATAAAATCTATGATTCTCTACAAATGTATAGAGGGTCGAAAATAAGAATTTAAGGTAAGAAAAGTGGTGCTTCAGAGATTGTTGCAGCAGTATGTATGTATACGCATTTCGAAGCACGTTATGAACCAAGTGCAGTAGTAGTCTACATGCCACATAAATCCCCGCAGCGACCAAACTTAGGGACACTAACTGGCCAAGGCAACACAGACATATAAGAGATGAAGAAGACCACATAAACTACGCCTGTGGGCCCACGACAAGACTAAGCCTAGATATTCTGCTGCGAAAGGGTCTACTAGAGCAGATCGCAATGAAGATAGAACATGAATGGACTACTACCCTTGAATTTTGGGAATCATGCCTAAGACTGGTGCGCAGCTAAAAAGTTCCACGCCAGTTCCCATCTGCAATGCACGTTATGAACTTTTTTCTTTTCCTAATGACCAGAAGACAACGATCTGCCTCGGCTGACCAATACGTGACACCACTTCAAATGACATAACCTTTAAACATTCTCGAGGACCTGCTCCTTGAACTCCCGCTCCACCTTCTGGCCCTTGTCGTCAGTCGCGGACTCTCCGTGGAGAGAAAGGAGAGCACCGAGGTCGAACTTGGGCGACTTGAGGAGCTTAACCTTGCGAATGTGAACCTGTGGATATTCATGTTAGCAGTCTGTACCTCGATACCCAAGCACAGGAGGGAGACAAACATTCTGGAGGGGGTAGATGCCCTGAGTGGACTTCTCAATCTCACGGCCAATGACCTCGGGGATGAGCTTGTGGGTAAGCTGAGAGAGAGTGCAGCTAGCGGCCTCACGCTGCATGATCTCGGTCATCTTCTTGCGAATGGCACGGATCTGAGAAGAACGGGCGTAGGTGGTCTTCTTGATCTGGTTGGGGCGTCTCTTGGTGAAGGCAATGGCGAACAGGCGGAGGAGGTAGTCGTCAGTAGTCTTCACGGTGACGTTGGCCTCGATCAGAGACTGCCACTTCCGGACAAGAGAGCGGAGCTTGTCGGTGGTGAAGTCCAGGCCGTGGAAGTTGGTCAAACAGTTCTTGCCCTGGATCTCATCAACGCGGAGCTTGACCTTGCGGAAGGCGTGGTCCTCGTCATTCTGGAGGTCGGCCAGGGAGACCTCGAAGATACGGCCCTTCAGCGAGTCGTTGGCGTTCTTCAGACCGCTGGTGCGGTTGACCAGAGTCTTGCCGACACTAGAGGGTTCATTAGCAAATCCGAACTAATAAATTTTCTTGTCCGTCGGGATCGGGCTTAGATGCATACTCGCGGGTCTGGAAGGTGGAGGGAGCCTGTCGAGCATGGTTAGCAATGTAGCAAGACAGCAATGTCTGGGACGCTCAACACACCTTCACGGAGTACTCGTCCTTGCGGGTGAAGGGGTCGACTGTTCTCTTCTTGATACCCTTCTTACCCTTAGAAAGGCGCTTGTTCCTGAACGAAGAGTATTAGCGGTGGATTCGTGCGAAGTGTGGTGAGATCGTCAAGGCGCAGGTGGAATTGAAAGCATCAAAAAGAAGGAAGCAGGGTGAACGCTTACTTTCCAACAGCCATGATTGCGAGTCGTATCTGTGTGTTGTTGGAAGACAGACAAAAGGTATCGCACCACGCGCTCAGAGGGTTTCGACACTGCTCGGCGAGAGGGTTGAAAACCCACAGAAAACTCGGCTAAGCGAGACACGGGCCCTAGTCCCAGATTACGTCAGCCATCATGTGACCGAACATTAAAAAATTATCATCATCTACAATATAGCTCTAGGTGGACTTGTAGTGGCTTAGTTTATTGGCTAGTGCCCTATTTGCCTCATATTTGTTGCTCTTCAGTGTACGGAGTAGAGTAGCCTTGTATATGTATACATTGTAACACAGAGTTGGACATGGCAATTAACTGAATGCCAATTATCTCAACTGAAGCAGATCAATTGACCCCTCTCTATTGAATCAGTCAAATATACACTCTTTGAATTTTCAAGTAGACTGTCTCATGTGCGCCCACATGATTTGGTGGGAATTGCCACCAACTGACATCAGAGGACGGAGACCGGATGATCAATCTTCCGACTTCGATTTGGGTAAGTCTTCCTGGCCTATACGTTTGCTCCGCACGAGTTCCCCCACAGCTTCACCAATCTCGACTTCATCCTTCTGCAACGCGTTTTGAGTCGCAGAGACTTAGCTGCAGAATGGTATGTACTCTTTCTTCACCCAATGATCCTTGCAACTGGATACATGTTTTGACTTTATAACAGGGCAAGCGCAAGAAGTCAAGCCGCACACCCCAAGGGCCCCGAAAGGTGATTGAACGGCGCGCCTCCCAATACTGCACCAGAAACTGACTTTTGCATCCAGAGGGACCCTCTACCAACTGCCTTCTCTTGTCTTTTCTGCAACCATGAGAACTCCGTTGTGGTCAAGCTAGACAAGAAGCTTGGCCTTGGTGATCTGTCGTGTAAAGTTTGCGGCCAAAAGTTCCAAACTGGCATCAATTGTAAGTCGAACACTGCTCGGCTAGATCACCGGCACACGCCTAACATCATATCTTTCTAGACCTCTCCGCTCCCGTGGATGTTTATTCAGATTGGGTGGATGCATGCGACGCAGTTGCTAAAGATACTGCCAACCAGTACGAAGCACCCAGCGCCACGTCGGGGCATCGCGGGGCTAGCAAAGACGAAATTCCAGAAGATATAGGACATGGCGATGCTTATGCTGATGATGATTACTGATTGTGTGATGAGGCGAACGGCGCAAAAGGAACGGTACCAACAACAATCGATTTTATGAGCTTCTTGTATGACAAATAATTCGATCCCATTTTTCTGGTTGTATGTGCTCATACATTCCCCTTTTTCAAGGATATCCCCGCACCTATACAGACCTACGCTACAATCCAGTCTGATCCGGCGACTCGTATGGGGAGCTCAATGTCGAGGTGGTCTGTAACAACGCCCGTGGAAAATGACCTGACCAATATGTCTGAATGACTCCGTCCTGGCCACGGATTATAATTGTCATGGAGAAATGACACACCTTACAGCGTATAATATCTGTCGCCAAAATCACCTAATCCAGGGATGATGTACCTACCAACCAATCAGCATGAAAATCACAAAAGTTCTCTAGGTTGAGGTTCTTACTTTTTCTCATCCAGCCCTTGATCGACAAAAGCGGTGACGACCCGAAGCTTGGGGAACCTTTCTGCAAACTCAGCAACGCCAGATGGGCTGGCAATCAGATTCAGAAAGAGAATCCGGTGCTCTGGAACTCCTCTTTCCTTCAGTGTCTCCACGGCAAGAGTGGCAGAACCGCCTGGGATCAGATCAGCTGGGTGGTCAGGGACATTGGATCCAAAGGGCCAACTCACCAGTTGCAAACATTGGGTCTAGGAGAAGGACCCATCGCTCAGCAATGTCAGCAGGCAGCTTATCGTAGAAGAGCTTAGGCATGCATGTTTCCTCGTCACGCTGAATAAGAATCTTTCCGATACGAACAGACCGGCAGCAGTCCCGTAGTCCTTGTTCCATAGCCTCACCTGCCCTCATGATGGACACTCCACAGATCTTTCCTTCGAACTTGACACCAAGGTAAGCTCTTCCAACGGGGGTGGTGACAGACTGCTCAACAACGGGAAGGTGGTTGAGTCCCTCTTCCACTAGTAATCGAATGATGCGATTGGAGTAAAAGATGAAATCGGCGCGAGCTGTTCTCTTGTCACGGATCATCCTGTTTGGTACATATGAGTCTAGAGTGGCCTCCAGCTGCGGAAAATGGGTTCGCCTCACGTTAACAAAGCAATCAACTGGGGAGTTTGAGGTAGCACGTGGACATTCTCATAGGAGACATCCTTTGAGACAGTTGCAGTAGGCTTTTCACCATCAGGGCGGTACATAGGACCAACACCCTGCGCAGGAGATGGAGCCGATTCTGGTTTGCTAGCCATAGTGTAGGTTGTAGGGTTCAGGGATTTGGAAAATTATGGATAAGGAGACTGAGGTCCCGAGAGAAGTAGATATCAGTTCAACTGACGCCAGAAAAGTGGCAGAGAAAAGGAAAAGAGAGAGGAAAGTCGAGGAGAGCGGGGAACTCGGGATTTCTCTCTTATCTTTTATATCGCTGGGAAGCTATGCCGCAGTGGGTGATTCTGCCCCATCTCCTCCGCCTCTTATCACCTGCATTCTCCGCTTCCTCCAACTTCCTTCCAACTTACCTGACATTTCAGGTTGTTAAGCTGCTTGTTCTCCTTTGAATACCACGCCACGGCTCCCTTTGAGCTTGCGCCAGCTCCGTTTCACACTGCAAGGACATGGCTTCTCAGGAAACGCCTACATGTTCTTTGGCCCATTAGCTCGACTTGCTTGTCGTCCCTTGGGGTATACTGAATACCGAATTGGCCCAGTTTGATTGATGCGACAACCCTTGGTCTAACACCTGTACTTTGAAACGCCAGTAACCTCTAGCTTTTCTGCACCCAGAGCCGAAATGGAGAACTCACGCCCCCCGAATCGACGGCCCATAACCTATGGGGCCACTGCTAGAAGTCAATCTCGGCCGGATATTGCCAAATCTGCGCTCTCCTCTCCCGCCAAAAGAACTTCTAAAGAAGCACACTTGCCGAGTCCTTCGCGTGCCTCGCGATCGATGAACACCAAGTTGCAGCACAAGAAGAATGGAAACAAGCAACCAGCTGGATCCACCAATGAAACAAAAACGCGCGCTCTTGCACGACCACAACCTGACCAAGAACCCAATGTGTATGACTTTCCCTCCTCAGATGACGGGCAGAGTTCCGCCAGCCGGCGAAAGCGAAGGCGTTACAATATCGAAGACAAAAAAGCCCCGGCACCCCTGCAACTTACAACATCCAAATTTACCACTGATGTAGAATCTAAAACGGTAGAAATTGGATGTGGTAATGTGTCAAACCCGGTGGTGAATGATGTGCGAGATCGCCGGAGGCCATTGACCAAATATCAGGAGACCCATTCTAAGAGCTCGATCATGCAACAAACGAATGAGATCTCTACTTCTGGCAAAACAGGGTCCGGGATAATCTTTTCACCAGAGAGAGATATTGAACCCACTGAGTCTCCCAAACCACGCAACCCCTTGCCGAGTACTCACCGGGGCTCATATACCCCCACCGAGAACGTAACTCCTGGCCGAAGAAGGCTTATTGACTCCCTGGGAATAACCGATTCTCCAGGTGAAACATCACGAAAGAGTCCTGCTGAGAGCCAGCCGACCCCCAATCGGGCTTCTCACATTGCGCATGTGAACGATGTGCCTGTGAATGAGAGCCAACCTGAGAGTCACACTCAAGGTTCTCCTGCCCCTGTACCATCCCATCTAAGAGGGTCCCAGGTCACCTATGCACGTCAGCGGTCCTTCCTTGATGATCTCTCTATGACAGATGAACTTCCCATCGCAAACATTTCTTCTGAATCGGAGCACCCTTCTAAGTCAGTCCAGCGCCAGCTGAAATATGATGCTCCCCCGATGGCTCGTTTGATCGTGGCTGACGAGGAAACCAACGAAGATGGATCTGTCCGAAGTATCCATGAACTCAGACAGGCAGGTGGAAATGCCCGGTACCGAGGTGCTGTCGAGTCCATATTTGAAGATATTGAAGATCCTCAAAACTCGTTGTCTGGTCGATGCAATGCTTTTGTCCAACTTTGTGGCAAACTCCTGGATACTGGAGCGCGACACCGATTTGTCGAGTGCAATTTTGACAAAAGACTCGTGGATTGTCTTTCAATTGAACTTCAGGTCATCCCTGCTATTTTGGCCTTCTGTGCCTACGCACTGGCATCATCGGATGGAAATTTGTCATACGTGCTTGCTACTGCTGCGTGGCCCAAGCTTTTGGACACATCATACATTCTGCTGGACGTCCAGGATGATATATCAGTGGCGACCAAGGCTCCAGCTAGCGGCCTATCTCGACCTCTGCAGAAGACAATCCAAAATATTGTCCCACAGGTTTCTTCGGTGCTATTTCCCAAACCTGCATTACCGAAACTTTCTCCATGCATTCTGGCATTGTACTGTATGAAGTCGACCATCTCGACCCTACAAACCAAAGGCGAGAGCCCTGGCCTTTCCACGCCTCTTCTAAAATTATTGGTTGAGATGCTATTATCCGAAAGTTCGCGCTGTGTCACCCAGAAAACCATATCACCAGGGAGTTCTCAAATGCTAGCACTGGGCTTCTCAATTTTGGAAGCGTCGACTGCATCGACCGAGTTCAAAGATGGACATCAGGATTTGCTTGGTCCGCTTTCCGGGCTCCACAACCTGCTCTACCTCAAGAGCTCATATGCCGACCCCGTCAGCCAAAAAATCAAACCTCTTTATATCCGGGTGATCCTCAATGTCACTAACAGCGACCTTCTACTCTGCGATCAATTTGCGAATCCGGAGTTGGTGGGAGGGTTGGTCGATATGGTCCTGGCAAACTTTGGTGGCCTGACCGAAGATGCACTTGGCCAGGAAAACAACTCTCTGGACAGTGTGATATTAGCCCTGGGCGCTCTCACCAACTTATCTGAACGAAGTGGAGAGTCAAGGTCAATTTTCCTTGGTCCGGCTGGCTCCACGAATTCTTTCCTTGACCGGCTCCTACGTCTATTCATGACCAATGTCGATTCCATCTCCACGGTAAGCTTTTCAGTCGCGTTTGCGTGCTGCTCTAGGCTAACTCCATTTCCCTAGGCTCATTCGGTCTTGGAGGTACATCATAATGTCGCTGTGGGATATTTGGCAGTCCTTCTTCTGACACTCTGCCTGGACAACGGCGCTCGGTTGCAGATCAAGAACTCGCTTGTTCCAAACGGGCTGGCAGCAGTGACCTCCACTGTTGATGAATTCTTACAATATCACCAAAAGATTGAAGAGGAAGTCTACCAATTCCCGAAAAAAGGACAACCAGCGAGTGGATTCCTATCCAGGCTACAGGGACTCGTGGCTCAGGTTCGACAGGTGGAGTTATGATGGACGCACTGTACCCGCCAGACGGCGCATCTGTGCGCGCTTGGCCCAATAATAACTACATTCATTCTGGTCTGATGGCGTTGAGTCGATGGTTTGCTGGAATTCCTTGATACCCCTATTTTGCCCAACATCTGCGATTGGAATGAATCATTTGTTCTAGGAAATCTCACGTTTAATTTGGATTCTTGATCAGTTGATATCCAAAAGAAAAGGATCACTTTCGATCACCTATATCATATATAGTAACAAAATTCAGGTTAGCGCCCTCTAAAGAGAGAAAATCCTCCAAACAATACTCGAGGCATTGTATAGTAGGAGTTGGAGAAACGACTGTTTGCACTGTTTGCAGGGCTCCAGGAGTTGGAGCTCCGCATGCATCGAGGGGGATTTGCCACCTCCCAACATTCACTTTTCACAAGTGCCATTGTGTTTGAATTGCTGTGGATTCAACTCTAGGACACTGCTTTTTACCCTTTACGCTTTCACGGAACCCTTCTTAATTCTCATTGCCCTGCACCATGCCTGCCGCACCGAAGCAGAGAAAGATCGCCATTGTTGGCAGTCGCTCCGTGGGTATGAGCTCCTTAGTCACAATGCAGTTGTATGTTTTCTGAGCGAATCTAACATTCATACCGTATCTTGCAGGTAAATCCTCACTCACGGTCCGCTTTGTCGAGCATCACTTCGTCGAAAGCTATTACCCTACCATTGAGAACACCTTCAGCCGAATTATCAAACACAACGGCCAAGACTATGCGACTGAGATTGTTGATACTGCGGGACAGGTAGATGACTCTTGTGCGAGGTTATCGCCAAACTGTGACTGAGTACTTTACAGGATGAATACAGCATCTTGAACTCGAAACATTTCATTGGAATCCATGGATATATTATTGTCTATTCAGTCACATCCCGCCAGTCCTTTGAGATGGTGCGAGTAATTCGAGACAAGATTTTGAACCACCTGGTAAGCCACCATTTTTCCGGTTTATACCAACCTATACTAAAGATTACTTTTATAGGGAGCGGATGAAGTACCTCTTGTTGTTGTAGGCAACAAGAGTGATCTTAAGCCCGAACAGCGCCAGGTCTCTCTTGATGAGGGTCGCCAATTAGCAGAGGAGGTCAACTGTGCATTCACCGAGGCCAGTGCTTTCCTTGATTACAATGTGACAAAGGCCTTTGATCTTATGATCGGAGAGGTTGAGAAGACCTCCAATCCCTCACAACCCACTGGAGGAAACAAATGTATCTTGATGTGATACTGAAGATTCCTGTGTTGTCCGGATATGGTAAGTGAAGCAGCTTGAAAGCAATTTGAGTTACTTTTCTCCATGATTCGTGGTATTATTTTACTGTGCCTCGTTGCAATTCAACTCTTTACCCAGGTTCTTATTGGCTGATGGCTTGATGCAGGATTTGTGCTATTGATTGGTGACTTTATGGCTCTGTTTGAGCCCCTTGTTTTGGCTGTCTTCCTCTTTTTTGTCTATGTTTCTGGAAATGGTGGATTTTTGGGGGATTGATTTGCATGAATAATGAGCTTAAGGCCTAGGGAACATGGATCGGTACCATGCATAGAGTAATGAACTAAATACTGACAATATCAAGCCCACAGACTGTAATCATTAACATTCGTTCACTGGAAATAGAGACTTAGACACCATGTCGATTAAGTAATCCACTTCTCTCAGCCCACGAGTGCGTGTCTCCACGCACTGGGGATTTTCCTCTTTCCCCCTCCACACATTGAGTCACCCCTCAATCATCAACTCAACACCAATCGTCAACATGCTCGACCTTTCCGACTTTGTCACCGAACGCGGTGGTGATATCAAGAAGATCAAGGAAAGCCAGCAGAAACGTTTTGCTCCGGAGGAAACTGTTGATGAAGTGATTGCGCTCTACGAAGAAGCTCGCCGGGGTATGGCTATCATTATTCTTCCCGTGATACTTGCTGACATATTATAGCGCGTTACGAGGTAACACAGATCGGATCTCAGCTCAATGCGCTCCAAAAGGAAATTGGAATGAAGAAGAAGGTTATTATGCGCCAACCGCGGGTTCACGACTGAGTGCTCACACAAAGCCAATTAGAACAAGGAAGACGCAAGCGAGCTGTTCGGACAGAAGGCAGAGTTGGAGAAGCGCAAGAAGCAGGCAGAGGAAGCTGCAGTTGACAAGGAAGTGCAACGGGACCGAAAGATCCGCACTATTGGAAACTATGTTCATGAATCAGTGCCCGTGAGCAACGATGAGGTATGGTTTTAGCTTGGACTTATGGTGTTTGATGCGCTTGCATAGCTGACCAGCGACCCTTCGGCCATAGGAAGATAACCAGGTCATTAGAACATGGGCCCCAGAGAATGCCCAAATGGACAGGCCAGGTTGCCTTTCTCACCACGAGGTTCTCACTCGTCTTGATGGATATGACCCGGAACGTGGTGTAAAGATTGTTGGCCACCGTGGGTACTGCCTGACTGGCTACGGTCTTTTCCTCAATCTGGCTCTGATCAACTACGGCCTGGAGTTCCTCTTCAACAAAGGCTACAAGCCCAACCAACCCCCGCAGTTCATGCTTCGGGATCTCATGGCGAAGACTGCGCAGCTGGAGCAATTCGACGAGGAGCTGTACAAGGTTACTGAGAGTGAGGACAAATCCACCGACAAGTACCTCATTGCCACTTCTGAACAGCCATTGTCTGCCCTGCACGATAGCGAGTGGTTGCAAGACAAGGACCTTCCTATCAAGTAAGACACCATACTTCTTGTGATCGTTGCATCGCTAAACGAGAACACAGATATGCCGGTTACAGCACATGCTACCGCAAAGAGGCAGGATCTCACGGCAAGGACGCTTGGGGTATCTTCCGTGTCCACCAGTTTGAAAAGGTAAGCTAAATTCTAAGTATCCCACTTGAATATTTGTATATTCATACCAAGGTTAGATCGAGCAATTTGTTCTCACGAAGCCGGAGGATTCGTGGCAAGCCTTTGAGGACATGATGAGCACCTCCGAGGAATTCTACCAGTCCTTGGGACTGCCATACAACATTGTTGCCATTGTCTCTGGTGCCTTGAACAATGCAGCTGCCAAAAAGTACGACCTGGAGGCCTGGTTCCCCTTCCAGAAGGAGTACAAGGAGCTAGTCTCTTGCTCCAACTGTACTGACTACCAGTCCCGAGCCTTGGAGATCCGTTACGGTACCAAAAAGGCCACTGATTTGAAGAAGACCTATGTTCATGCGCTGAATGCCACCCTATGTGCAACTGAGAGAACCCTCTGCTGTGTGTTGGAGAACTACCAAAGAGAAGATGTAAGCGCTTTTCCCATCTGGCAACGATGATAACTAACTGAGAGCCTAGGGCATTGTGGTTCCAGAGCCTCTCCGGAAGTACATTCCTGGTGCCCCGGAATTCCTCCCTTATACTAAGGATCTCCCCAAGGACAGCACTTCCACAAAGACCAAGAGCAAGTCCAAGGGTACCGATGATGCCACCAAGAAGATGGAAGGCCTCCAGGTCTAGAGCGACTCACGTGATTGGCATACTTGCTTAAAAGGGCGATCGATACCTGATTGGCTGAGAATTAGAAAAGGAAAAAAAAAAAAAAGGAAGAAAGATTGCCCCACGAACATACCCCTCCATGATGTTAAAAGAGACGCATAAGTTAGTACTATACATACACTACCTGAGATACTTAGGTCCATATTGAAATAGTCTCTAAGTCATCTCCATGATCTCTAATATCTCTACGATCTCCCCTATTTTAATTTATATGGTTCCCGAATCTTCAATCCCGATTTGCGACGGGATTTCCAATAGGGTTCCGATTCCGGAGGCTTACTTAATTTCTAATTAAGAGTCATAAGGTGATTCACCTCTTCCTTCCATTCCCAAGTTGTTTCTCCCCTCTCCAATTCTCCCACCCCCCATTATGACTTCCGCAAGAGATATCCGTCCTCGTCAGGACGACTTTGCCCAGCAACACCTTTCGGTTTCGCCCAATGCCTCTTTCCATTCCCCATCCAGCCATGGCTCTGTGCTGGGCCGTACCGTCCCTCTGGTCAATGCAAAGCACCTGAAGCCATTCGCGACGCAAGACATCAAGGTCTTGCTTCTGGAGAATGTGAACCAGACCGGCCGCGAGATCCTGTCCCAGCAGGGTTACCAGGTGGAATACCTCAAATCTTCCCTCCCGGAGGACCAACTCATTGAGAAGATCCGGTGCGTCATCTGCGGATTGACAATTGAATGTGGTGGCTAATTGGTGGTTCTGCAGGGATGTGCATGTCATTGGTATTCGTTCGAAGACGAAGCTTACTGCGCGCGTTTTGAAGGAGGCAAAGAACCTGATTGTCATTGGCTGCTTCTGTATTGGTACCAACCAGGTTGACCTTCAATATGCCGCTGATAACGGTATCGCTGTTTTCAACTCCCCATTCAGCAACTCCCGCAGTGTTGCCGAGCTCGTCATTGGTGAGATCATTATGCTTGCGCGCCAGCTAGGCGACCGCTCCAACGAGATGCACAACGGCACTTGGAACAAGGTGAGCAACGGGTGCTGGGAAATTCGAGGAAAGACTCTAGGTATGTAATGGGTGTTTTGGATTCATTGACTGCCCAGCTCATGTTCCTTTTCCAGGTATCATTGGTTACGGTCACATTGGTGCCCAGCTGTCAGTATTGGCCGAGGCAATGGGAATGTCCGTTATTTACTTCGACGTGCTCAACATCATGTCACTCGGCACTGCCCGCCAGGTGGAGACCTTGGAGGAGCTTCTAGGCCAGGCTGATTACATTACTTGCCATGTGCCTGAGATCCCCGAGACCAAGGGTATGATTGGACAAACGCAATTTGAACAGATGAAGACCGGTAGCTATTTGATCAACGCTAGCCGTGGCACTGTTGTGGACATCCCTGCCCTCATTGATGCTATGCGGAGCGGCAAGGTTGCCGGTGCTGCCCTGGATGTGTACCCCAATGAGCCCGCCGGAAACGGTGACTACTTCAACAATGAATTGAACACATGGGGAGCCGATCTGCGTTCGCTGAAGAACCTGATCTTGACCCCCCACATTGGAGGCAGCACTGATGAGGCCCAGAAGGCTATCGGTGTTGAAGTTGCTCAGGCTCTTGTTAGATACGTTAACGAGGGTTCGACCTTGGGCGCTGTCAACCTGCCCGAGGTTACTCTCCGCTCTTTGACCATGGATGAGCCCAACCACGCTCGGGTAAGTGGCGCCGTACCCGAGACCCAGTTGCCTTTGATACTAACATGCCATCCAAGGTCATCTACATTCACAAGAACATTCCTGGAGTGCTGCGAAAGGGTACGTGTATCACTACTTGGATGTGAAATGATACAGCTAACATATGCAGTCAACGAGATTATTGGAGACCACAACGTTGACAAGCAGATGACCGATAGCAGAGGCGATGTAAGTTTACCTCTGCAGACTTTGAATTGCCAGAAGCTAATTGTGTCTAGGTTGCCTATCTGATGGCTGATATCAGCAACGTGGACACTGCTACCATCAAGGATTTGTACACCAGCTTCGAAAGCCTTCCCTGTAAGATTCCTGCTCGAAATGTCGGTATTGTTCAAAGCTAACACTCCATCAGCTCGCATCATGACCCGCATTCTGTATTAGACGAACGATCGATCCCTTTACAAGCTAGCCTCTAGGCTGTGATGCTTTAATCAACTTAAGACGCATGAGCCCTGTCTCGGGGTTCACTTCCGGTTGCAATGGGTCACTCTCAACGAGCGCCCTGGGAGAAAACAATTTCAATACACATGAGAATCTTGGTCTTGGGTACGGTACAAAGCCGTTGGAATGTATATTGTGACCATAGTTTTCACCTTTACTAGACAAAAGTCATGACATGAACGTTTTTCATTTCTATTTATCATAAGAATTTCATCGCCAAGTAAAATACATGCACTAGTTGGATGACTAGCCGCGACTCCCGTCCTTGTAACCGGGACTACGACTTCTCCTTCTTGGTTCCCGGCGGTAATCATGTCGATTGTTTGAACGCCAGTCAGGATTGATACTCGGGTCCCGCGCACGATCGGGAGCGTTGCCATAGTTTGGAACATAGGAGTCTGTGTTCCCCGGTCTAGCTCCTGGGCGGCCCTGGCCATATCGATCTCGCCGTTGGTCATCTCTTCCGTCAGATCTGTTGGTTTGCGCTCCATCCCACGGCGGGTGAGCGGGGACCGGGGGACGCGGGGGCAACCCGGTGTCTCTTTGCGAAGGTGGGAAATGCCCACGGCGTTGGGCGTTTCCATGGCTCGAGACATTTGCTCTGCCTCCACGGGCGGCGCCGGGGATGCGACTGTTTCTGGAATCCGGTCCGCGAGAGCCAGAGCTTCCCCAGCCACTGTTTGATTGAGTATCGCCCGAACCGATGGCAGGAACAGGAGGCACAGGAGCTCGCTGACTGCGGAACTTCTTCCGATCAAGTTCATGCGAATCTGAGAATTGAGGAATGTCCCCAGGTCGTGCTGGGAGCGGGGGAGTGGTGAAATAAGGATGCTTCAATGCATCAATAGCGTTGATTCGTTTCTTCCAGTCAAGTCTAAGAAGTTCCCCTAAGAGGGAAATGGCTGTTGGACTCAGGCTGTTGGGTGAAGGGTAAGTTTCATTCAGATAGAGTGGCACGGAAGACATACTCCTTAAAATATTCGGCAAGGTTCCCGCGCTTGAATCCAAAGTTCTTCACGCCCTCGCAACCTGGAAGCGAACTCCATCCAGGCATATTCTCCTCGGTCGGAGTGCCCACAAGACTGAAAATTAGCTGCGCTTGGTTGAGGTCGCTATTACCCATAAGTATAGGCTTCCCTTTGAACATCTCGCCAAACACACAGCTGGAAAGATGGTTAGAAAACGAGAGGATCTTTTTCTCTTGACAAAAGACATACCCAACTCCCCACAGATCAATGGCCGTGGTGTAGCGTTTTAATTGCAGTAGTAGCTCAGGTGGGCGGTACCACCTGGTGACAACAAGAGCAGTGTACTCCCTCTTGGCCTCTCCTCCTCCTTTTCCGGGCTGCGGAGGGGATTCATCGTACGGCCGAGCAAGTCCAAAATCGGCAATTTGAAGAAGGCCACCATTGCTGATCAGCAAGTTTGCCGCTGTCCAGTTATGTCAGCTCTAGTGCATCCAGAAGTTGATTCAAGACCTACCTTTCATATCACGATGTAAAATGCGGCTCTATGAAATCGTTAGGTGGATGATGCAAAAATGGGCGGCACACATACTGCATGTAAATATTTGAGACCCTCAAGGAGTTGCATCAAATAGCATTTGATCTGGGGCTCGGTAAACTGGACAGCCGGGTTTTCTAGCAGTCCTGAAAGGTCATGCTCCATATATGGGAAGACCATGTACATGCTGGGCTTCTTTCGCCCATCGCCTGGTATGTTGTTAAGGCAATCATTCTTCAGAAGCGCAGGAACCAAGCTAACCTTTGCCTCGCTCGATTGCCATCTCTTTCAGTTGTAAAATATTCGGGTGCGAGAGTGCCTTAAGAAGCTTGATCTCTCGAATAGCAGTGATAGGAAACTGGCGCAGAGTCAGCTGTGACCATAAAAGGAACGAGGAAAGCCACTCACGCCTTCTTTTTCGTGGTGCATCAAGATCTTTTTGAGAGCCACAACCGTAGTGTCCTTCTTTGATCTTGCGCGATAGACCTCACTGTCGACCAGTCAGACATGTTACTTTTATGCATCCGGTAACAACCCACCCAAAGGTTCCTTCTCCAAGCTTCCCGACAAATTCATATTCACGGATGTTGGAACAGCCGGGAAACCGGGCTTGGCCGTCGCCGTTTTTCTCAAGGGATATGATTGCCATTTTGACTCGACCGGTATAAGTTGCCGCCCGTGACAATTTTGTCAGGTATTATTCGATTCAAGGTCGCGTCAAATCTCACGTCAAAGGGTCAAAGCAGTTGTCGCGTGTTTCGAGCGGACAAATTGGAGTGAAGGGAAGCGTCGAGCTCGATCGGTAGTAACGTTCCACGGCAAATTTGGGCTCAGGGAATCCGTAAAAGACCGAGTCATCTCATAGCAGAGGGGAATTTGGGGGAATTAAGTGAAAGCGAAAAGGCGTGTATAATGATGTCGCATTGCTTTCTTTGAATGGGATCAATATCGAGTTCGACCATTCAGAGTGAATAGAGACCTGAATAGGGACCATCCCAGACGAGGTGCAGACAAGACATGCCGGTATGCCCAATGAACAATGAAGTGATTGTCGGAGCTCAAATAATTGATGCGGTTGAGTGCTGTCATGGGTCACGTGCAACGAACTCCCCGTCTCCCTCCAAGGGCAGAACTCTCCAACCTCACCCGAGTTCTGTGAAGCAACGAAAGTCATTCCCAACGCACAGTAAGTGCTGCAAGCACTTATTTCGATGTCATTCCGTGGCTAATTATATCCCAATTTGTACAGTCATGGCGGGCAACTCCTCCCACCCTATCCACATCCACCCGGTTCGCCCGCTCTACCGCTTCACTGCAACCGCATTGGGCGCAAGCATGTGGTTCTTCGTATGCAATCTCTCTTTCTAGTCATTTAGTACACTGTGCTGACATTCCTCTTCTGTGCAGCTCATGTACCGGGCCAAGAAGGACGGTCCGGCTCTGTTGGGCTGGAAGCACCCTTGGGACCATTGATCTCCAAATCTCATCGTCGATTTTTCTTTTTCTCGAATAACCACTGTATCGCCAAGGGCAATGGTGGCTGGATTGGTCGAAATGCGTACGGGATGCATTGGAGATAAACGCAGGGTTGTCCCAGGATGCATGTCAAAACAGGTCCAGTTCATGATAGCCATTTACAAGTCGAATTGTATCATACCCTTTCTCTTTCATTTTTGTTTTGAACCATAATGGTTGGGTCCGCGTTTACTGGGTATACAGCCCAACATCCTCTATCTACAACTCTATGTGTAACTGCTATAAGTACAATGTGAGCCCTTCGAGAGCATGCATTACATGCGCATTTCCTCCAACAGCACCTTGTACATGCGACGCTTCTTGTGGTAATTTGGCTGCAAGCGGGCACGAGCATGTCCAAGTATCTGCGCCAGGCAAGGGAAAATGTTCTTCTCCGCTATCCAGGCGAGAGCGAAGACGCCCAATGCCAGCGCGACCAACCAGCTTCGGAACCCGTCAGACATGGACGTCAGTTGCATAACGTCCACGACCCATTGAGAAGGTCTGAAGAGCATGTAAGCCGAAATGAAGAGATCAACAATGATAGTGACGAGGTATGGCACTATTGAAAATCAGTCAATCTACTCCAAACATCCTGGCGGGTAATTCTCACCGTTCATCGTCATTGGTTTCCGGAAGGGTGGGCCAGCACTAAGAATAACACTGGTCAAGATGTACTGGAAGCAGGAAAACAAGAACAAAGCGGTGTTTTCTGAGTTGATGATGTTGCTCTTCTCGAGGTCCAGCTGCGGTGGCATAAACCTGTAAAGTGTTAGAGTTGCTGCAAAACGGGTACTCTAGAACACTGACCAGGGCTGCAATTGCACGGTCTGGAAAACAGCAAGCTGCGATAGCACTACGATCGAAATATGTCCAAGCAACGGTGTCAATACCTTGCGTGAGACAAGGTCGGCGGTTGGCCGCTTGCGAGATAGCGTGGGAGCAGGGTCGGCCCAGCCCACTGTTAAGTCTGATTAGACTAGCACGAACTATGCACCATGAAATCACTTACTGAAAATTGCAATTGGCATGATGAGCGCAAGATCGATGAAGAGGAACTGTACCAGGTTAGTTATTTAAGGACAGTTATTTAAGGACTTTGAGTATGGTGGTTCGCTTACTTGGAAATCGCCCAGATTTGACCCTGAAGTGTAGAGGAAGCTGACCGAGGAGAATTGAATGGCGGAATAAAGACTCATGAACTTGAAGCAGGAAAAGCTTGTCACCAAAGCAGCTCGGCCCTCACTGTGGCCATTGTTAGAAATCTGGCCCATCTTTCAATGCATAAAACTTACCGAATCAACGTCGGGACACAAGAGATTTCGAACACGCGACTAGTAAAGGGTGCAGCGACAGACGCCTCGGCATCCGACAAGGAAATACCAACATCTGCAGCTTTCAGTGCACCACAATCATTGGCACCATCTCCGCAAAAGCCGCAGCAGTAATCGATGGACTGAAGTTTCTCGACCAGTTCATGCTTTTCGTCCGGAGACATTCTGGCAAATACCTTTCCGCATACAAGTACCTAGAACCAGACAAGTTAGTTTGCTCTGACTGGTATAAAAGTATGCAGCGAATTGGTGCACATACCTTATTGAGGACATCCTCATTTCCATAATCGATCATCCATCTGAACACATCACCAGTCACAGCAACAGAGAATTTGAGCTCGGTGATGGCGTTTCCTGGAATAGAGAGATCATTTTCCGCGGTGTCAATGGGCTGCAATATATTAGTTCTAGTTCTCCCACCTCTGAAAGGATGACTTTACCATAAGTGTTCTTGAGTCCAATCGGAGATCAGGGTTGTCCACGCTTTCCCATATGAGAGAAGTTTTGGATACAAGACCAGGCTCTGCATTTTGCGTTAGATATGAATTGGGTAGAGTGCGATGAAACCAACCTTCAATCAAATGAGGAATGAAGCATGGTTCATCGGCTCCAAGCATTTTGCATTCGCGCGCAACGCTAATTGCTGTCAGAATATTGTCACCAGTGCACATGACATTGCGAATTCCCGCCTGGTTCAGCTCGGAAATCACACTGGCAGTGCTAGGTTTCAGCTTATTCTCGAAGATGATGAAACCTATGAACTCCAAGTTTGATTCGACATCCATTCGAGTCATTTTCTGGACTTTCATCCAGCTAAGCTTTCGTTCATACTTGGTGGCGCATGCAATCACACGATATCCTTTATGTGTGTAGTAACTCAAGAGATCTTCGTAATCTGAGGGAACTGAAACAAAAATTAGCATGCAGCTGGATAGAGCGGGGAGAGTCACTGACGAGATTCAGGAACACAAATATCCTTGATACTTTCCGGGGCACCCTTGACAAAGAAGCTCGCCCCGTTGTCGCCAAATCTCCTGACCACCACACTCGCGCGGCGGAGATGGGAGACGAACTCAAAGCTTCGTAGGACTCCAAGCTCCAAGGGATTCTAGGACATATTAGAGCCTATAAATGCTTTTTGACAAGGCTTGCAACTTACAGCCGAAGAATCTTGTTGACTGGCGTGCTGGGGAGGCTTTGCAACTGAGGGTGCAATTGTGTCGTATTTGTGGGCTCGGTCCGAAACATTATTTCCTCCCTCTTCGAACGTCCAATCGGTAAATTGGAACATCTTCACATCGAGAGGATCTCCTAGCAACTCATCGTCCACTACCCTGAGAGAATGGCACGTCGCCATGGTGTACATGATCTTTCTCTGCTTATCGAGATCATATGCAGAGTTTGCCGTCTTAGGGGGAAGAAGGAAACCATCAGACGTTTCGGAGAGCAATTCCGAAAACCTGTAGACGCTTAGTGAGGCCCGTATAACTTTTTGAAGGGGTTTCAAACCTTTGACCGCGGGTTACTATGCGCGCTCCGAGTACATCCAACCCATCTTCCGTCAGAGTTCCAGTTTTATCAAAACAGACAACGTCAAGTTTTCCACCAACATTCACCCTAGTATATCTTAGTGTCATATCAGAATTAGCTTTCTCTATAACTCACTTCTGTGGACTGATACAGAATATACTCTGCTTTTTCAGTCGAGAAAGAGCAAAATTGGTTCCAATAGTAAGTGTGGCCGGAAGAGCTGGTGGTACAACAATCGTTATCAGATCGAGGGCTCGCACTATGATCAAGTGCCAAGCGAGCTATACTCGTGTCAGTATTTGACATTTGAAATAAATCCTGTCTGTTCGAGTCTGACTTACGCCCAACCGAACAAAATTGACAAACGAGGCAATGAACCCAAGGAGAGCAACCACGCCCATAACAGCAATGTATCGGAACGAGTCCCGGTAGAACTTGAATCCAGAAGGTTTGGGGAAAAGCATAGAGCGAACTAGAGCACCCTTCGTGGTCAAGAAGCCAGTTCTGACAACGATTGCCAATGCTACTGCTTCATCGTCATCGACGTTCTGAGGCCGTCTAGCGCGGATCACTTTTGTTCCGCTGAAGAGGAAATGCTTGGCAACCTGGGGGTGTATAGAGGGGGTGCTGAGATCGAGATACTTGAGGGCGTCGTCCGTGAGAGGTACTTTGGAGACCGGAACAGATTCGCCTGTTGTCATGTTAGATACCAAAGTCGAGGCAAATGACTTGTACATACCAGTGAGCATGCTCTCATTCACGATGCAGTCCCCAGACAACAATATGCAGTCACACGGGACTTGATTAAGCGAGGGATCAGAGAACTCAAAAACGTCACCTGGAACCAACTCCTGAGAGGAAACTGATCGCCCTAAAAAACGGTCAGTAAATTGGATGGTGGCGAAGTGCCAAATTGACTTACAAAATCCATTCCTAAGAACACGAACATCACACTCGAAAAGAGATATCTCCCTAAGCCGACTCATTGTCTAAACATCATTAGTAGTGGGAACGAGGCAATTATAGGGTGGAGCATACCGATTTGGTCTCAAGCACAGTTGTTGCTATGCTAAAGAATGAGATGAGGAAAATACAGACGGCATAGTAGTAGTATTCATCCATCGACCAAAGAACAAGGCTGGCAACTTGGAAGATATAGAAAGGATGAAAAGCCTGATTCGTTAGATGCAAGTATACAAAGTCGTTAGAAAACTCACCTCATCGAGGAGAAGCTGAGGCACAGTCTTCTGATGAATCTCAATGACGTTGCGCTCAAATAATTGTTCTCTGCTGTCCCGTTCATCGGCATCCAATCCTCCTCGCATAACCTTTGCATTTGTCCACAAAGGATCTTTCCAGCCATTGATCAAAGAGAACTTATCCTCGATGGGATGGTAAAAAAACCTCAAGTACCTATAGTCAATGGAATGCAGGGAGTCAATAGTCGGATCGCTGTCTTCGTCGTAGGTGTGACTCGAAGAATCAGCGAACACCGTAGAAAGCGGACGCCCATAGGGTTGGCTGCCAACTTCATGTACGGTGAATTGATTCCATTGATCCTGTCATGCATTAAACGACTGTTTGAAACAGATTAATCTCACATTCTTACCTCGATTGCCACCCACTGGCATTTCCCTATGGGAGTCGGCTTCCCAATTAGCCTTACCCGCCATCGTGGCAACCACCGGAAAACGAGATAGGCAAATCCACCGGTCAAGATGCAGAGAGCGACATAGATGGTAAATCCGCCAACGCTTGTGGAGAAGCCAGCAAAGACAGCGGTCAAATCTTCTGATGCGATATAGACCTTCTGGTTTAGCCTGTTGCCGGATCGTCGGTCTCGTCCATATGAGCTTGCTGACATATAGCGAGAAAGAAGTGGATGCTCGGTGGAGTCGCGAGATACGGACAACCTCTTGGACACAAAGGACCCTCTGGCTGACTCGAGGTCTCCGTCTCCCATCGCATGGACTGACTCTTCATCGATCTCGCTCTCTTCCTCTACAGCGTCTTCGTTCGACCACTCCTCGAAATCTTCTCCATCTTGGAAGTATGTAAAGCTGACGGTAGAGCCTGTTCGATTGCGACGGTGCG